TATATATGAACCCAGGTAGCAGTTTTTCTTTAGGATTGAGAGGAGATGCAGGAAGATAATAAACAGACAGGACAGAAAAATAGTCAAATAAAAACAAGTTAGTTTTTTGTACCTGGTGGTTGCAACAAACAGACACCATTGAAGGTAATCAGAAGTGAGGAACAGAAAATGAAATAATTATTTTAATGTTTGGAGCAGCAGGAACTCTGAGAGGCTGCAGGCGCATCAGTGAGTTTGTGGCCGCTGTGCAGGGGGAGGGTGGATGGGGGAAAAGGCTAAAGCAGGGGGAGGGGGTAGAGGGCTGAAGCAGAAACTACCGTTGTTAAAAGAAATGTGTTTAACTTTGAAAATGTGGGCACAATTTTAATTGTCAAAAACTCCAACGAACCATTAGTTCATTTTGCTCAAATAGAAATAGAGTCCTGCCTCTAATACTGGCCCTCCTTCCAATAAAGGCCTGGAGCTTGATGAGCTTGAGCAAAATACAGGCCCGGGCCTGTATTAGAGGATTAACGGTAATGCATTTCATTAACATGCATTTGTGTTGGAAATGGTAATACCGTTTAATTCTGCTGCTAACAATGTAATGGTGGCATGCCTATTATGTATGGGTTAGGGTTAGGGGGGTGTTCCGTTGTGCCTTGGCCCCCAAAATGTCTTGAAACAGCCCTGAGTGCGTGACTGAGTTTTGAAGGTGATCAGAATGGTATCAGATGTATAAATATGACATGTGTATAACTTATTGTTTTGTACAGGTAAAAATGTGTAGTGGAGATAAATCGACCTACATTTTACTTTGTTTTCTTGTTTTTATGTAACTATTTTCCTGTCCTGTCTGTCTCTCATCTTCCTGCATCTCCTCTAAACTCTCCAGAAAAACTGCTGCCTGGATTCTTACTTTTTCACCTCATCAGTTACTTTTGAGCAGATCAAAGGGATCTCCTGACCGCAAAGTGGAGAGCGCGTTTTGATGCTGCGTCAGTGAGGTGAAATCACCGCAGCACACGATGAGCGGAGCGTGTCAGGAACGATTTAAAGACAGAGTATCAGAGGATATAAACAGATATGAACAATCATGTGTTAATAATAATGTTTTGTTGTGCCACCTTGAGAATGTATCAAGCGCCGGACACAGCGGGCGCACCAACGATCAGCGATCTGCGTCCTCTCCTTCCGCTCAACAGAATCCCGCTATGCTGAGAGTCCATATTGTAATATAGGCAGAAACTGGATTTTTCCCTAAAAGATATCTAGCCCCCATAACTCGATCCCTGCTCCTGGATGAAAAACCAGACATTTTGATCAATGTGAAACCCCCCCCCCCCCCCCCCCCCGGATGTCCCGGACAGAGAGTGGAAAGTGGACATGCCCGGGGGAAAGAGGACGTATGGTCAGCCTACAGTAGCACCAACCATAGATATGTACCAACTAGCGCAGGGGTCGGCAACCTTTTCCAATCAAAGAGCCATTATTACCCGTTTCCCACAGTAAATAAAACACTGGGAGCCACAGCAGCCGCGGCGTTGTGGGAGAGCCTAAAGGGCCCGTGAGCAGGTGACGCTTTTTGACACGTCAGACGTCTCCTTTTAAAACATGTTTAAACTGTTCAGAATAATAATCCAGGCTCTGTCTGTTGGATCGTTGTAATTAAACTTTGTACAAAACGAAAGTTTACATTAAACAATGTGTAAAAGGTAAGAAAAGGTTCAGATCAATTCGTTTTTTCCCCTCGTCTACAGTGATGGAGATAATGACGCAGTGCACATGGGTCTGGCGTTAAACAAGTTTGTTTCTCTTTGCAACAATCTTCACAAAAAGGCAAAACAGTTACATGACAGGGTTCGCCTTGACCGGATGTTTCCCGTATATGACCGTTTATTTTGACGGATAAACCTAAATCCTGCAGATGCGCTGACACTTTAATCATGACACACATCACGGAGGTAGCTAAATCAATAGAGAAAAGATTCCCATCAGAACATCAGAGCATTTTACTGGACACTGTGTTCAGCACAGCTCACTGTCAGCGCAAACATAAGGTGGACAGCGAGCTAAAGATGTGGACAGGGGCTTGGAGCGCGCCGGTCACCGGCGGCAGCAGAACCAGAGCGCATGCGGGAAGATTCCTCTCACGGAAGCAAGTGTTTTCCAAACCCTGCCTCTCAGAGAGAATTGTCACTTAGAAAAGGTTCCCTGATTGTGAAACTTTGGCTGAATAGCGCTTGTTCCATTGTCCAATGTGGCGACGCATTCATGAGCCTCTGAGGCAAAAGTCCAGAAGCTCATATCCTCTTCAGCTCCGAACAAGCAGGTGACCAGTCATTTCGGGTCTTTATCATTTTTGTTTAGATTTTAAAAGATGACAATCTTTACATTTAGAAATGACATGCATAGAAAAAATGAATGCAGTAAAATAAAATATATTTTAAATAAATATTAATTCATAATTTTACAAGCACAGAGAGCCGCATCAGATGGGTGAAAGAGCCGCGGGTTGCCGACCCCTGAACTAGAGAAAAGCTATTTTTGATCTTTTTCTGCAGCGGTTTTAGAGCTTTTCAGTGCACCGCTGCTGATACAGCGCCTCTGTAGTAGCGCAATGCTGCAACTGCAGTTAAAATGACATAGCTGGGGGCAGAGTGAAATCAGGCTGGGGCTGCACAAAAATAGTTGGAGGCGGCCGCCACGCAAATTTGAATGCAGGAAAAACCCTGTAACATTTATATGCAGATGACATCATTTTATTTGCATACAGTTCTTCCTTGAATGCAGCCTAGTCCTCCTTGCAGCACAACTTTGTCTTCAACCTTCATCTTCATTTAAACACAAGTAAAACGAAGTTCATGATCTTCAACCGTAACTTACCACTATCAACTTTCCACCCTAATATTGTTTCCCTGGATGGTGCGGAACTACAGCTCGTCAGTTCCTATTAGTATCTGGCTTGACAACACGCTTTCATCTGACATTCCTATCAATTCATTACTTTCTAAAGTCAAGTCAAAAATTGGGTTTCTATAGCAACAGGTCATCCTTTAATTCTGCAAAGCAAACCTTGCTCATAATGACAATCCTTCCATCTTGGATTACGGTGACAAAATTACTGCTTCCAAAAAACTTCTTCATAAACTCGATGTCATTTATCACTCAGCAACCCGTTTGGTCACTGGTGCCCCTTTCACTCCTCATCATTGTGATCTGGACTCACTCTTTAACTGGCCATCACTCCATTCCTGCAGGATGTTACATCGGTATCAGTTCATATACAAAACCATCATCAGTAGAACCGTCATATCTTCACTCATTACTCATCACTTCCAACAACCAGCACCATTTACGTTCCAGTAACTTCATCTCTATGGTTACTCCCAAAGCTTGCACCTCCTTTGGCCGCACCTCATTCCAGTTTGCTGCTTCCAACGGCTGGAATGAGCTGCAGAAACCACTGAAACTCACTGCCTACATTCCATTATCAACTTTCAATAATTCATGGTGATCAATAGTTTCTGATCAGTGTTCCCTGTTCTGAGTATTAAAGACTTTTAAGTCTGTTCTGATAGCTTGTACATGTTATATATGAGAACAATCCTTTGTCTTTATGTCTGACTGTTTATCTGTTGTTCTTTGGTGTAAAGCTAACTGTGTGTCTGCTGCTGCCTCTTGGCCAGATTGTTGTTGGAAATGAGAACAAGTTCTCAGTCTACTCATCTGATTAATAAAATAAAAAAAAAGCCAACAGTGCAAATCCAGCAGGTGAAGACCCAACAGAAGCATTTAAAAAGGCGTAATAGGACTAGATACTATGGCTATTAGTGATCATATGTTTATGTTCATGTTTATGTGTTTAGCAGACGCTTTTATCCAAAGCGACTTACAATTTATAACCTATAGGGCATGTTGTGATCTGTGGGGGAAACCGGAGTACCCGGAGGAAACCCACGCATGCATGGGGAGAACACGCAACTCCACGCAGAAAGGCCGCAGCCGAGTTTCGAACCTGCAACCTTCATGCTGCGAGGCAACAGTGCTAACAACTGCGCCACCATGCAGCCCATATGACTAGATATTGTGGTTATTAATGGTCACCGGGCTAGATAAAATAGTTATTAGTGGTCAAATGACTAGATAAAATAGTTATTAGTGGTCAGATGACTAGATAACATAGTTATTAGTGGTCAGATGACTAGATAACATAGTTATTAGTGGTCAGATGACTAGATAACATAGGTATTAGTGGTCAGATGACTAGATAATGTGCTTTGTGGTGGTCAAATGACTAGATAACATAGTTATTAGTGGCAAATGACTAGATAACATAGTTATTAGTGGTCAGAGGACTAGATAACATAGTTATTAGTGGTCAGAGGGTTAGATATTGTGGTTGTTTTGTGTCTCGGCCAATCACTGCATGGATTCTGCTCCTTGTTCTAGAAGGTGCGGTTGAAACATGACCATCGGGTAGGGCTAGTCGATTATGGCAAAATATTAATGATTATTGTGACTGAAATTGATATCTTGATTATTTAAGATGATTTTTCAATTCATGTTGATTTTATTTGTTTTTATTCAGTCATAAAATTGCTCAGGGCACAATCAGGACAAAAATAAATAAGAAACAATATTCAAAAATACTTTATTAATCCCAGAGGGAAATTGAGGTACCGGTACTCTGTGGTATGAGACACAGAGTACTGGTACTGGTACTCTGTGGTATGAGACACATCGTACTGGTACTGGTACTCTGTGGTATGAGCCACAAACTGAAGCGTCAGCCTGGGTCACTGAATTTAGTTAAACTCTGACTGGATCATAAAGGATTAAAAATGGATTCTTACTATTCGATCCGTCTTTGATCCTAATTGGACGGATTGGATTGGGGTTTTACTTGGATTTGAAATGGACCTGTTACCTGACTCAGTACAGCTCACTGAGATGTCTTGATTTGGGTCGAACAACTTTCAGCAGAATAATAATTAGATGATTGGGGTTTCTCTCTGCAGATACAAGCCCTTCTTCCCGTTCCAAGTGCAGCCTCCTCTGGGTCCAGCGAGTGACTTGGACCTGTCGCTGCAGGACAGCAGGCTGGTGGAGGGCCGACTCAAAGTCACACTTATTGAATGTAGCAGGTGAGACTCCCCAGTTTGGAATTCCTGTTATTCCTGATTGATCCCAACATTCTTGTCCAGACTCTTTTGTACTTTGGTCTCATGCTGGTTTGTTTTTCCTCTTCATGTGTTTGATAACAAACAAAAAACGCTTCAGTTACTGATATTTTCTTTTATAATTTATTTTTATTTGTGTGAGCATTACAATATAACGTTTACTTTACAGCCCTTTAACTTTACAACCAATACTCAGTTATATTTACGATATACCAATCAAAATTACTTCACAACATTTTGAACAAAGAAGAACAAAGAAAAAGGAAACAAAAAAGGGGGACGGACGGACAGACAAGTCAGTATGAGAGCACAGTAAGTGCTCCTCAAGGGATTTGAAGTGGGGTATGAGAGAGAGGTTAGAAATCTGGCGTGCTGTCTATTTAAGGCCTGCATATTTTATCTATTTGGTCCATCGCTTAGTAAATATATCTTTCTGAAGGTGAAGGGAAAAGGAGATCCTCTCCATAAGGTAGATGTTGTTTACTATAGTTATCCACTCCTGTATTGTGGGCAGATCTGAGAGTAACCAGTGTCTCGTAATTACTTTTTTTTACCAGCGGTTATCAAAACCTTAAATAAGTATGCATCAGTTGTCTGGATCTGTAGATGTAGATTTCCTAAAAATAATGTGGGAAACTGCATAGGTAGATTAGTGTTGAATAGACCACTTAGTACTTTATGAAGCTCTGTCCAGAAGGGTTTAACCACTCGGCATTCCCAAAAGATGTGCCAGTGACTGGCTTCTCTGTGCCCACATTTTCTCCAGCACATGGCTCCCCCTCCAGTTAAATGTGCTTTCTGGGTTGGTGTGATTAAAAAAGCGGATCATACACTTCCAGCTGAACTCTCGCCAGACCTGGGAGCTGGTGCATTTCCATTGGGATTTACAAATGCCAAGCCAATCTTCTTTAGATATCAGCAGATTGCCCTCTCTCTCCCATTTCCTCCTAACATAATCTGTACTGTGGGATTTTTTGACAATTCGCCTTTCCACATTTTTGAAATCACTCCCCTATTAGGTTTGCTTTGATAAGATTCAACAAAGATTTTTAATATCGGGTCATTAAGGTCTCTTTCCTTTCTTATTTGTTCAAAATGGTTACGCACCTGGAGGAATCTGAAAAATTCAGTTCTGTCCAGGCCATTGTCATTTTTCAGCTTCTCAAAGCTTTTAAATTGTCCCTTCTCCGTGAGTGAGTAGTAGGTTGTTATTCCCTTCAAAATCCATAACTTAAATCCCTTGTCCATTGTGTTAGGTTTAAACTCTGGGTCATGGGCATACCATTGAATTATCTGTAATGTATTGTTTAATTTATAGTCTTTCTTCATTCTATTCCAGATTTTTAACTGTGCTTTAATCCAAGGATTCTCTATCTTATCTGCCAGTCTGCCCAGTTGTTCGTAAGGTATTATTGCTTGTATTGGGGGATCAACCAGAGTTGATAGTTTCTATATCTTGAAAAGATGGGTTGCACAAGTTTATAAGGGGTCTAACCTGAGATGCATAGAAATAATCCTTGAGATATGGTATCCCCCCTTGTTCTTTGGGAAGCTGTAAGTTTTTAAGCCTCACTCTAGGTTTTTTACCCTGCCAAATAAATCTGGAAATAATCCTGTTGAGTTCAGAAAATTGTTTTGAAGTAATTTCTACAGGGAGTGCCTGAATTAAGTAGAGATATCTGGGGAGAATACTCATTCTTACCGACTCAATTCTATGACTGAGACTAAGGAAAGAAATTGAATTCCATCTGTTTGTCTTCCTTAATTTTTTTTCAAGAGAGGGTTATAATTATTCTCTGCCAATGTATGAATCCTTTTTGGCAGGTTTATTCCTAGATGTTTTAATGAGATTTGATCCCAGTTAATACAATATTAATCTCTAAGCTGCCGTGTTGGTTGAAACTTAATAGTCAAAGTTTGTGTTTTTTGTGTATTTAATTTATATCCTGAGTAATCCCCAAATTTTTCTAGGGTGGTCATTAATTTAGGAAAATAATTGCAAGGATTACTCAAATAAACCAGGACATCATCAGCGCACAGCTCCACATTGTGGTCTTCTCCGTTAATGCTGATGCCTTTAATATCCTGAGTTTGTCTTATCCAGCAAGCTAAGGGCTCAATGTAAAGCGCAAAAAGCAGGGGTGAGATTGGGCATCCTTGTCTGGAGCCCCGTTCCAGTGTAATGTTATCGGTAATAGGGTCTTCACGGTAACCGGTGTAGCGGTAAACCCCGGTAAAAAAGTTGACAATAATAATAACAGTCTTGTTTTTAAAAAAAATATTATCTCGTTGGATTACCGTGGCTGCGGTGTTGGCGCGGTGACCCTTACCAGCCACCGTATCGTCTGCTGAAGTTGCCGGCGGCACACGCGCACTTTATTGTTTACAACCCAAACTTTCTTGAAGCTAAAGCTGAACATGTGTGACGCGGGGAAGGCCTTTGACTCAGTCAGCTGGCCTTTCCTATATTTAGTTTTAGAAAAATTTGGCATGGATAGCGCTTTCATTAAATGGATTTGTTCTTTATAAAACAAACCATCAGCCCGGATAAAAAATAAATGGATATCTTACTGATTAGGGCTGTCACGGTGTGAAAATGTTACCTCACGGTTATTGTGACCAAATTGATCACGGTTTTCGGTATTATTGCAGTATTTTTTTAAACGTGTTACATTTTCAGACAACTAAATAAACCCTGTATATCAGGAAAATATTGTCCTCAGTTTGTGTCTAAATTTTGCCTAAAATTTGTCATTTTGTAATTATGTTGTTTATTTGTTTACATTTTTCCCCTTTAGTCTTTAAAACACCAATATTTGCCCATAACTTCTTATGTTATGGTCTGTTTGATGTCATCATTTTAAAAATATTAGATCAGATGATACTCAGTACTCAAGTAGCCTTCTAATCGGATACTTTTGTACCCTTACTTGAGTAATAAACCCCATATCAGGAAAATATTGTCCTCGGTTTCTGTCCTTCCAGTGAGCTTTGCAGATTTGGGAAAATGTCATCAGGCAGTAATCATTGTTAAATTCATAATTATTCTCGGAGAGAGACCAACTCTTATCTGCCCCTGGGAGCCCCGTAATGCATAGCGTCATTTCAATATGTCCGCGACACGTTTTATATGCAGGTAGCGGCGCTGCGGCTGCTTTATATAGCGACTCGTTCTCCCTCAACCCAAATCCTCGGATCACGCATTTTAGCTAAAATGCTAACGTTAGCTTGCCTTGCGTTGACTGTAGAGTTGTGGGTGATGGTCAAGCAGATGTGTCATGAGATTTGAAGCATTGCTGCCTTTCACAGACACTTTTTCTGCACGTGCTGCAAACAGGATAGCCGTCTTCTATCAACTGTCCCTTCTGCATTCTTCAAGTGTCCAAAAAATGCCCATACTTCCCACTTTGTCTTCTTTGAGGGATAATAAATGTTCTGAGCGCTGCCGTCTCCTCCTTTGGCCATTATTTTAGCTTTAGCTTCAAGAAAGTTTAGGTTGTAAACAACAAAGTGCGCATGTGCTGCCGGCAACTTCAGCAGATGATACGGTGGCTGGTAAGGGTCACCGCGCCAACACCGCAGCCACGGTAGTCGTCGTTGTCGTCTTCCTCCGCTTATTCGGGTCTGGGTCACGGGGGCAGCATCCAAACTAGGGAGCTCCAGACCGTCCTCTCCCTGGCCACCTCCACCAGCTCCTCCGGCAGAACCCCAAGGCGTTCCTGGACCAGATTGGAGATGTAACCTCTCCAACGTGTCCTGGGTTGACCCGGGGGCCTCCTGCCGGCAGGACATGCCCGAAACACCTCCCCAGGGAGGCGTCCAGTAGGCATCCTGACCAGATGCCCAAACCACCTCAACTGGCTCCTTCCGATCCGGAGGAGCAGCGTTTCTACTCCGAGTCTCTCCCGAATGTCCGAGCTCCTCACCCTATCTCTAAGGCTGAGCCTTACGGAGAAAACTCATTTCGGCCGCTTGTATCCGCGATCTTGTTCTTTCGGTCATTACCCAAAGCTCATGACCATAGGTAAGGATTGGGACGTAGATCGACTGGTAAATCGAGAGCCTGGCTTTCTGGCTCAGCTCCTTCTTCACGTCGGTCTCCCGATCCCTCCTACCCTCACTCGTGAACAAGACCCCAAGATACTTAAACTCCTCCACTTGAGGTAGGACCTCTCTCCCGACCCGGAATTGGCAAGCCACCCTTTTCCGGTCGAGAACCATGGTCTCAGATTTGGAGGTGCTGATCCTCATCCCAGCCGCTTCACACTCGGCCGCGAACCTACCCAGCAAGAGCTGAAGGTCAGAGCTGGATGAAGCTAGGAGGACCACATCATCTGCAAAAAGCAGAGACGAGATTCTCCTGCCACCAATCTCGACACACTCCACACCATGGTTGTGCCTAGAAATCCTGTCCATAAAGGTCATGAACAGAACCGGTGACAAAGAGCAGCCCTGGCGGGGTCCAACCCTCACCGGGAACAGGTCCGACTTACTACCGGCTATGCGGACCAAACTCACACTCCTCTGGTAAAGGGACTGAATGGCCCTTAACAGAAAGCCACCTGGAGCGTCCCCCACAGGGTGCCTATGGGGACACGGTCATAAGCCTTATCCAAATCCACAAAACACATGTGGATTGGTTGGGCAAACTCCCATGCCCCCTCCATCACCCTTGCAAGGGTATAAAGCTGGTCCACAGTTCCATGGCCAGGACGAAAACCACATTGCTCCTCCTCAATCTGAGATTCAGCTATCGATTGGACCCTCCTCTCCAATACCTTGGAGTAGACATTTCCAAGGAGGCTGAGGCGTGTGATTCCCCTATAGTTAGAACACACCCTCAGGTCACCCTCCTTAACGATGGGGACCACCACCCCGGTCTGCCACTCCACAGGAACTGCCCCCGATGACCACGCAATGTTGCAAAGACGTGTCAACCACTGCAGCCCTACAACATACATAGCCTTGAGCTACCCAAGAAGAATCTCATCCGCCCCCGGTGCTCCGCCGCTGTGTAGTTGCTTGACTACCTCAGCAACTTCTGCCCCCGAGATTGGACTGTCCATCCCCAGGTCTCCCGGCTCTGGTTCCTCCTCGGAATGCGCATAGGCTGGATTGAGGAGCTCCTCAAAGTATTCCTTCCACCGTCCGACTATAGCCCCAGTTGTTGTCAGCAGCTCCCCATCCCCACTGTAAACAGTGTGAGCGAGTTGCTGCCTTCCTCTCCTGAGGCGCCGGACAGTTTGCCAGAACCTCATTAGAGCCGATTGATAGTCTTTCTCCATTGCCTCACCAAACTCCTCCCACGCCCGAGATTTTGCCTCGGCAACTGCCACTGCTGCACCCCGCTTGGCTATCCGGTACCCGTCTGCTGCCTCCGGAGTCCCACAGACCAGCCACGCTCTGTAGGCCGCCTCCTTCAGCCTGACGGCTCCAAGAAACTCTGGTGTCCACCAGTGGGTACGGGGGTTGCCACCTTGACTGGCCCCGGCCACCTTGCGACCACAACTAGCAACAGCCGCCTCAACAATCGCAGAGTGGAACAAGGCCCACTCTGAGTCAATGTCCCCCACTGCTCTTGGGACGCGGTCAAAGCTCTGCCGGAGGTGGGAGTTGAAGACCGTCTTGACAGGTTCTTCTGCCAGGCGTTCCCAGCAGACCCTCACTATGCGTTTGGGTCTGCCAGGTCTACGTGGCATCTTCCCCTGCCATCTGATCCAACTCACCACCAGGTGGTGATCAGTTGACAGCTCCGCTCCTCTCTTCACTCGGGTGTCCAAAACATACGGCCGCAGGTCAGATGATACGACTACAAAGTCTATCTGCGACCTAGGATTCCCTGGTACCAGGTGTACCGATGGGCATCCTTATGTTTGAACATGGTGTTTGTTGTGGCCAAACTGCGGCTTGCACAGACGTCCAATAACGAAACACCACTCGAGTTCAGATCAGGCGGGCCGTTCCTCCCAATCACACCCCTCCAGGTCATGCTGCCATTGCCCACGTGAGCATTGAAGTCTCCCAGCAGGACAATGGAGTCCCCTGATGGAGCACTATCTAGCACTCGTCCCAGGGACTCCAAAAAGGGTGAGTACCCAGAACTGATATTTGGCCCATAAGCACAAACAACAGTCAGGATCCGTTCCCCGACCCGAAGGTGCAGGGAAGCTACCCTCTCGTCCCCCGGGGTAAACCCCAACACACAGGCAGAGAGTCTCGGGGCTAACAAAAAGCCAACCCCAGCCCTCCGCCTCTCACCCGGAGCAACTCCAGGAAAGGAGATTGTCCAACCCCTCTCAAGGACTTGGGTTCCAGAGCCAATGCTATGTGTCGAGGTGAGTCCAACTATATCTAGCCGGTACCGCTCAACCTCTGCCACAAGCTCCTGCTCCTTCCCCGCCAGCGAGGTGACGTTCCATGTCCCAAAAACCAGTTTCCTTGTCCGGGGATCGGACCGCCAAGGCTCCCATCTCGGTCTGCCACCCGATCCACACTGCACCGGACCCTTCATGTTCCTCCTGCGGGCTGTGGGTCCACAGTTGGATGAGCCCATGTATCCGGTTCGGGCTGGGCCCGGCCGGGTCCCATGGACGAAAGCCCGGCCTCCAGGCGCTCGCTCACGGGCCCCAGCCACAGGCCTGGCTCCAGGGTGGGACCCTGGTAACCCTCCGGGCCGGGTACTCCGACTCCTTGATTGTTCATCCATGAAAGATCCATGGTAATCCACCGAGATAATATTTTTTTAAAAATAGAAGACAGTTATTATTGTCAACTTTTTTACTGGGGTTTACCGCTACATCGGTTACCGTGACAACCTTAGTCCTGACCAAACCATTAACCTTCCACCACCGTGCTTGACTGTTGCGAGGCATTGGAGCTAATCTGACTATCACTAACTAATTTTTCTTTATTCTGTTTAACCTACATTATGACCGGCTGAAGTCCAGAAGTTGGTTATTTTACTCGGATATGAAACCATAAAAGGAATGAAAGGCGTTTCCTGTTTTTCCACACTTGTTAATTTTGGTGTTTTATGAGTTTTGTGCACGTGGATGACACATGTAGTTCTGATTCATCAGACTAAGATGCATTAGTCTGGCTGTTTTCTTAGGAGCCAGTACAGCCCCCAGTTCTCCCACTTTAACCCTTTGAAGGGTGAGTGATCAGTAAATTCCTCTCCACCACAAGAGACTGGGCCAATGTCCTCGCTACAGAACACGAAGACCTGCTTTGTTCTACTATGTCTGTAGAACATGTCTGACCTATTCTGATTGAGATGACCCCCTTCTCCAACCCAGAGGGAGCATCACACCCTTTTTAGTCAACCAGGAACCAAGAGTTCAGTCTTAGATTTAAATGGGAGAACTGGGACACATCCGTTCATTGTTGCTACAGTTTGCTGAGACTCTGAAATATGTCCACGTAGGTTAGATGCACCTAACCCCCCCCCCCCCCACACACACACACACACACACCTCTGACCTAAACACGCCACCACATTTTAATTTCCAGGAGAGTCGGATCAATTAACCGCAGCTCGTTCCTGTTGACAGTGTGTGTGTGTGTGTGTGTGTGTGTGTACTTGTCTTTGTATGCTTAAGTGGACAAATTTAACTTACCTGTAGTATGTGGACTTTTCCACGTTGTGGGGACATCTGGCTGGTCCACACGACGACATAATACCCTAAAACGTGGTTGTAGAGGTTTGGTGTGAATTCCCTTCTGGTTTAGATTAGGATTAGGAATAGAACAGCATTGGTTAGAGTTAGGGTGTGGGTATGGGTTAGGCATAGTGGAATCCCAAAAATGAATGGAAATCAATGGAGGGTCCACACAAAGATACAGAGCCAAGTGTGTGTGTGTGTGTATGTGTGTGTGTGACTTCACAATGGGTGTGTTTTATAGACCACAAATGATTGGATCAGGGTCATCTATAAATGATGAGCTCAGCCCATTATAATCATCCTCTCTCTCTCCTCTTACCCGCTCCGTGCTGCAGTTCGTTGTCGAGCTGTTCAGGATCCTTCCTCCTTCATACGACCTGTTTGATGATTTGGTCATTAAAACTGTTTGAAACAAATCTGCAGGAACACATCTCTAATGGCTACCCGGGAGAACCATGCACATGTCTATTTTTTCTGTGAAATGAAGACTAGAAGGATCCTGCACAATACAGGTTTAGTGCTGCTGAGTCTCCTGATGGCCCTGAAACATTTCCAGTTTTCTACATTTATCTCCCAGAGTGAAGCAGCAGATTCAGTTTCAGATATGTGAAGGATGCACCTCTGTCCAGAGTCCAGCAGGGGGAGACATGCAACCAAAACATGTTGATGATCTCATCCTGCAGCTCAGAAAGTAAGGCTTGTGTGTTTCATCGTCTTACTTTGTGCCAGTGGCATCTCTGTCAACGTGCCCCGGGGCAGCTGTAGCTGTGGGTGCACGAACCGGTGTAAAGTGCTTTGGAGTCCTCTGAAAGGTGCTACACAAGTACGGGTCATTTATCATTATCATATAAAGGCATGCAGCTGGCTGTGACCACATGGTGCTCCTGTCTGTAGAAACGGAACAGAGCAGGTTCATTCCTGCTGTTGCCGCTCCTCATGCTGTCCTTTGTCTTTAGGCTCTTCATCCTGGGCTCCTACGACAGAGAAACATATGTTCACGCCACCCTGGAGCTCAGCAGTCACCTGTGGAAGGAGAAGAGTCGCAGCTCCATCAAACGG